AGAGATAAACAGAATAAACAACCTGGAAACCAGCACAGACCAATTATGGCTTCTGCTTTGGCAGCAGGGCAGAGAGACAGAGACTTTTACAACCTCAGAATCATCAATACCTCAGATTCTGACAGTTGAAGGAGTGACTTCAGAGCAGCCCCTCCTGCATTTGCTTGAGGGGTGGCTGCAGCTGGGGTTGTCCCTGCATTGGCCATTGGTCACATTCCTTCCAGGAAAATCCCTCAGTGCCACACTCAGGCCAGTGGAGAAACTCATCAGCATTCCAGGTGCCCTCCTCTGAGCTGCCTTCTTTCACCCAATGGGACATTTCCCACCCTGTTGTCAGGGCTGTGTGGATTCAGCCTCTTACAGGCTCTGGAAAGAGGTGGGCAGCAGAGTCACCATGTGCAGGGGTGTTGGCATTGGGCACGAAATGAGAACACAGAGGCTTGGTAAGTACAAAAGAGAAAAAGAGCTGATTTTATTTTTGATTTTGCGATATATAGAATTCCAAAAGTGACAGTGGATTGGAGGATGAAATTTCCACCTCTCCAACTACACTGATCAAACCAACAGTCCATCACTTACCTCTTCCTACAAAGAAGAATGAAAAACAATCATTATTCACATGAACAGTGCATGAGAACGCCAGTAGAAATATGTAAACATCAGAAAGCATAGAAAACTTTTAAAAGAACTTTACAACTTTCAAAAGAACTATAAAATAAAACTTAACACTTAAAAATTAGGGCAACACAGGGGTGATGGGAGATGCTGCTGCATCCTCTCCCAAGGGGCTGGGAATGAAATTGAAATAACCCAACAATTACCCATTCTGCCCTAGGGGAGGTGGGGGAAAATCCCTTTATTTCTACGAGAACTCTGAAATGCTTTACTTATCACAACCTGCAGTGCAAATGTTGGGAGGCAGTGGGAGAGGTCACCCAGAGCCCCAGGAGTGACACTGCACACCTAAATCAGGAGAATTCTTGGAGAATTAGAGCTGCCTATTTGTTCCTAATTATTCATCCTCTGATTTGCATTTTAAGGAACTCAATTACTGCAATATCTGAAGGAAAAACACTTTTTTGGATATGTTGTGCTTAAAACAAAGCAGAAAACACCAAAATTCTCTGTTCTGCTTTTCCCTCTCACCATGGTGTTTATATTTTTATTGATTATTAATAACAATTTTTAATGTACTGAAAGGAGTGAGCCAAACACTGGATTATCCCTCAGAGCTCTGCTTGACCTTGTGAATTTGGAGGACTTTTATCAGGTGAAATTACCTGAGAGTCAGATTTCCTCACCTTTCTCCTCATGGATTTCAGTTCCCCCCTTGGTGTCTCCTTTTTGGGTGCCTTTGCAGAACTTTTGGACTTCATCTCATTTTAAGCATAAGGCAGAGTTTACCTGAGAAATATTTAATAAGAAATAGGCCTAAACAACAATTATGAATTTATCATAATACTATCTGCAGCTTCAAATGTGAAAAGACCTTGCAGTGCATTTAAAATTTTGAAAAGATCTTTCAGAATGTATTTTTAAATTTTCAAATATTAACATTGCATAATAATATAACTTCTCTATTAATTTTTTGAAGGATTCCCAGGTACCTTCATTATTCTTCCCTATATACAAATTATTCTAAATACATAACACACTTTTTATTAAAAGATTGGGAGATTTTATTCTCCCAACTCAGTTTATCAGAATTTTCACCTGCATTTCTGGGAATTTTCTGCTCTGAACTCTGTGTGGCCCTCAGGGATGAGTGAAAGAGCCTAAATAAGCAGGGATTTCTGATTTTCTGCCAATAACTCTTTTTTCAACCTGGAAGTGACAGCTGTACATCAGGAATTCTTTGTTTCAGAGATTTACCTCCAAACTCTCTTTTGCTTCCTTTCAGTGGATTGTTAGAAAATCCATGGTATAAAAAAACCCCATCTCTGATCAGATTCTTTCAGGAATAAGATGCCCAAATGAGCAGATCCTTTGTCAGTAAACCAGGAAAACTCTCCAGAAAAACTACTTCAGATTTATTTGGCCATCAATATCCCTCAAAAAAAAGAATTAAATAACAATAACACATAATTATCATTTCAGCAGGAGCAATCCACATTTAAACTTCCAAAATTGTCTCTAACTGGAATAAAAATCTTGATTACGATTGCTAAAGAGACACATTTTCCCCAAATAAAATAGAATTATAGCTACAATGCTCAAGACTAGGGGATTTTCCTTTTTTTTAATAGTGAAAACTTCTATCACATTTGGAAATTTTTTCCATAGGCCAAGGTGATATTGGAAGATGCATCTCAATAGCATAAGGAAAAATATATTTTTGGTTTTTTTGTTTTTTTCTGGAATAAGCAGAGAGTTGGTTTTTCTCCTTTTTTTTTCCCCTTTTCTAGATAACAAAAACTACAAAATTGATCCAAATAGAATTTTCATATTTTAAGTTACACTACATCAGACATTACCTTTTCCAAAGGTTAAGAAACCAAGGGCTACCTAAAATAAAAGCAGGCAAACAAAACCAAAACCTCTTTTGGATGAGCTGACTTCACAGAAATTGTAATAAACACGTGAAATCTGATATACCACAAGCAAAATCAAGGTTCATCATTTATTCATGGCTTCATCAATAGCTCCAAGAGACTCCCAGCACAGACAGATTTGTTATGCCACATTAATATTTTATTGGGTTTTATGGAACGGGAGAAAAAAAATGAACAGGGAGGATAAAATGATACAAATAAGATTTAAAAGACAAAGGAAGAAGAGGGGGGTTGGAATTGCTGAGATTGAGGAGAAATGAGAGGGAAATGGTTAAATTGCACTGGGTGGGGCTGGGTGCCACCACACCAGAACTCACACAGAACTCACAGAGCTTCATTCTCCTTCTTTGGCATCTAAGAAACCCATCTGAGAAATTTATATTCAGACAAGAGGAAAAAAAACATTGAGTCTGAACTTGGCCAAACTTTTTCTCAAGTGAACACCCAGAGCTGCAACCCAGAGTCCTGGAGCCCAGAGCTTTGCCTCTGCATGCAGCATTCAAACTGAAACGTAAATTTTAAGGAATTTAGAGATTTTAGAGCAGCTAAGATTTCAGTTAGAGATAAGCCTTACTAGAGTTAATTAAAATAAATGAGTAGGCCTTGATGAAGTTAAGAGTTAGTGGTTAACTAATAACTGATTGCTTGTCAGCACAATGTTGAGTTAGCTGGGTTGATAATGAAGAATATAAATTGACAAATTGCTTTTAGGAACATCAGACAATTGTGGCCTCCTCTGCTCTGAAACCAACTGAAGACAAGGAATGGGAGTTCTACCAAGAGTTCATTTGTCAGATTGGCATTGAAAAGGTGGAAAGGTCAGAAGGAGGAAGACTTCATTGACTTCCTCATTTTGGGACCCCTCCCATGAAAGAGACACCGACCCATTCCAAGGAACAAACCACACATGCTGAATGGCTTTTGAAATGATCAGCATAGAAAGTGAGGAATGGGATGTACCAAAATTATAAACATGTATTTGTATTTTGGTATTCAATACTTGGATTGATAAAAAGGGCTCTGTAATCACCTGGAAGCTGTGGTGTGGATTCGGGAACGATCCCACACACAATAAACACACACTTTCTAACTTTAAACTGTCAGAGAGTTTTTGTCCTCACAGTTGGATATCGGTACTAGATGAATATCTGTATTTTTGTAATAAATCAAAGCCATACTTTCTCTGAAAAGTGGGATTTTCCCTCAAATGCACTCCCATCAAGCAACCCGTGTCAGCAAGGCCACGCCTGTCCTGCACTCAGCACCTTCCACCTGGAGCAGTTTTAGCTCAGCTGGTGACACTGCAGCAGAATATTCTCAAAACTGAAAGTTGTCTCTACTTGAAGAAGCACATCTCCCAGCTTGAAATTAGCTTTTTTCACTTTTTTTTACCTTTTTTTTTTTTTTTTTATGGCAGAGAGCACAGTCGAGAAATGATGGATTATCATTTCTCATTTGGACTCAAAGTCCATGCAACGGCCAGAGGAAATAAGCAGTTTCTCCCAAGTGGCAGAAAGTGCATTGTTAAGGTGAAAGGAAAACCAGGAGATAAAATTAAAGTGATTTGTCCCAGATCCCATGGCTGGAGAGCTGAGCTGAGGCTTTGTGAGATATTCACTCCTGACACCGACTGGGGGTGGACACAAAGAAAATCCTGAGAAATGGAGGCTTGATGGAGTGAATTCAGCTTAAACTTCACTCCAGTTTTAGAGTGAAGTGATTTTAGATGCTGGGTTTGCTCCTGGTTTGTGGTCACATAAGGAATGGCATCCTGGTGAAATCCCCCAAAAAAAGGACTTTGAGGGGATGGAGTGGGGCCAGGGAAGGGAATGGAGCTGGGAAGGGAATGAAGCACCAGGAGGAGCTGAGGGAGCTGGGAAGGGTTTGGAGAATCCTGAGGGAGCTGGAAATGGCTCAGCCTGGAGAAAAGGGGGATCAGGGGGGACCTTGTGGCTCTGAACAGCTCCTGCCAGGAGGGGACAGCCGGGGGGATTTGGGATCTTATCCCAGGAGCAGGGACAGGAGGAGAGGGAACGGCCTCAGGCTGGGCCAGGGGAGACTCAGGGTGGATATTTGGGAAAATTATTCATGGAAAGGGTTCTCCAGCCCTGGCACAGCTGCTCAGGGCAGTGGTGGAGTCCCCATCAGGGGATTTAAGGTCCCTTCCAACACAAGCATCGATGATTCTCTGAGTGTGACACAAGACACCAGATCTCACTGCAGAAAAGGCACCAAGAGAAACAGAACTCCTTTTCCTTGGATTCTCCAGGACACCAGAACCATCCCATATTTTCCTGTGCCTCTTGATCAATTCTAACAGCAGCTCTCCAGCTTTTTCTTCTTTGGGGAGTTTCTGAACAAGTTCTTGGCTTCCCAGCCAAAGCTTTGCAGTTCAATTTCTCCCGGAGCACCAGAAAAAAAAAAAAAAAAAGAAAGAGCAGTCATTTGCTGGAATCATGAGCAGCTAATTTGCTGAGTTTAGTGGCAGGAAGCCTGAAGATAATCAATCCAGCTCTTCTCTACATATATGAATGTAAGGCAGAGTGCTGAGGAGGGAAAATTGCGCTGCTCAAAGCAAGATGAACAATCTTATCAGGTGAAACTGTGGATAAATCTTCACTGGCAGAACACTTTCCTCAGAGAATCTCCAGGTTCTTGGGAGACTTTTGAGCCTCTCATGTAGTCAGAACCCAGCACAATTGGATAATTACTCTGATTTAGGATATGTTTATGTTTTTATTTAGAAGAAAGTTACATTTGCAGCACAGATTTCCAGATTGCTGCAGTTAGTCCTCCTCTGAGTTCAAGCAGTTGGACATAACCAAGTTTATATGGAAGCTGTTTATATTTAAGTTTAAATTAAGTTTATATTTAACTGTTAAAAAATTCCTAATTCTTTACTGCCTCTTTGTTTTTCTCTATGTAAAAACTATTTTTAACACTCTCTAGTACTTGCTTGCATTAAATTATAGCATAATATATTAAATATATAATTACAACATAGACAAATATAGATATAGATACAGAAAAAATAAATATATAAATAACAACACAGATTTTGGCCTTCTGTGCAGCTAAAAACTCCCTTCTCTGTTTCATCCAGCCAGATTGCTCAGATCCATCAGGCAGCAGAGGAAGTTTTCTCTACCCATCACATAGCTCAGACCCTGAGACAGCCAAAATAAATGTGAGCTGAGCCGGGCAATATAAAACTGCCTAAAATCCTTCTGGGGCTGTACAACTCCATAATTCTTCTGAGATTCACTGAGCAGTCATTTCTCTCTTTCTTTCTCCTCTGAGCTGGGTTTAGGTGACAGGACCAAAGCTCATTGCCAGGAAGTAAAAAAGGAGAAAACTCTAGTGGGTGTTTTCCATCTGGGCTGTAGCTGGAGAACTTCACCAGCCCTGCTGTAAAAATCCCCCCATTGGCATCTGGCAGGGAAATATGGACAGAAAGACAAACAAATCTAGGAATCACTTCCCTGCCGCTGTCGAGGCAGGATGGGAATGAAAAGACTCTGATCAGAAGCTGCTGAGAGTAAAACTCCGATTTATTCAAAATACACTACTCTTTTATACAGAGCTTCATGAGGAACAACTCCGTTGGTCCTGAAATGAAAACAACTTACATCATTGGTGTACAGTGCTTGACACACAGTGATAGAACTTAACTATAAACAATGTGAAAAATAAGAGAAATAAAGAATTATTTACATTCTTCTCCAGCTCTTTCCCAGGCTTCTGCCTGGATAGAAACTCTCGTTTCTCTCTTTGACTGAATCTGAGACCCACACTTCCCCACAGATGACATTTAGGGCTGTGCTGGGTCTGTCAAGTGAAACCCTGAGCAGGGAATTGATTCACAGCTTGCTTCATAGAGTTGGGACCCTCCAAG